ACCCCGAAAAAACCCCAAACCCCAACCGCCAAACCCCAAACCCCAACCCCCAAAACCACAAACCCCAAACCCCAAACTCCAAACCCCAAACCCCAAACTCCAAACCCCAAACCCCAAACCCCAAACCCAAAAAATCCAAAATCCGAAACCCAAAAAACCCTAAACCTAAAAAATCCTAAACCCTAAACCCTACACCCCATACCCTAAACCCTAAACTCTACACCCTAAACTCCAAACGCGAAATCCGAAACCCCAACACCCAATCCCCAACACCCAACCCCTAACCCCTAACCCTAACCCCTAACGCTGAAAATCTAAACCCAAAAACCCTAAAACCCCAAAAAACCAGAAACCATAATAAATCATAAACCAAATCATAAACCCAAAACCCTAAAAACTCAGAAACCTTAACCCTTAACCTAAAACCCCAAACCCCCTAAAACCCTAAGCCTTTTAAACACCCTAAACCCAAAAAAAAAAACCTAAGCCCTAAACCACCCTCAACCCTAAAAAAACCCTAAAACCCCAAACCCGAAACCGTATAAACCCAAAAAAAACCCTAAACCTAAAAACCCAAAACCCTAAATCCTAAACCCTACACCCTACACCCTAAACCCTACACCCTAAACCCAAAACCCTAAGCTCGAAACCTTAAACCTTAAACCCTAAAAACCTTAAACCCCAAACACCCTAAACCTTAAACACCCTAAACCTTAAACCCTAAAAAACCCTAAACCCTAAAACACCCTAAACCCTAAAAAACCTTAAACCCCAAACCCCAAACCCCAAATCTCAAACCTCAAACCTTAAACCCCAAACCGAAACCCTAACCCTAAACCCTCAAAAACCCTAAACCCTAAAAAACCCCAAACCCTAAAAAACCCCAAACCCCAACCCCAAACCCCAACCCTCAACCACAAACCCGAAACCCCAAACTCGAAACCCCAAACCCCAAACTCGAAACCCCAAACCCCAAACCCCAAACTCCAAACCCCAAACCCCAAACTCCAAACTCCAAACCCCAAACCCCAAACCCAAAAAATCCGAAATCCGAAACCCAAAAAATCCTAAACCTAAAAAATCCTAAACCCTACACCCTACACGCTAAACCCCAAACCCTACACGCCAAACCCCAAACCCTACACCTCAAACCTGAAAACCGAAACCCCAAACCCCAAACCCTAAAACCCTAAACCCAAAACCATAATCCATAACCTCTAAACCCTAACCCCTAAACCCTAAATCTTACACCCTATACCACAAACACCAAACCCAAAATCCCAAACCCCGACCTCCAACACCCAACCCCTAACCACTAACTCTAAAACCCCTAAACCCTAAAAAGCCATAAACCCTAAAAAACCATAAACCCAAAATCATAAACCCAAAACCCTAAACCCAAAACGCTAAAAACTCGAAACCTTAAACTCTAAACCCTAAACCCCAAACACACTAAACCCTAAACCTTAAACACCCTAAACCCTAAAAAACCGCCCTAAAACACCCTAATCCCTAAAAAACCCTAAACCCTAAAAAACCTTAAACCCCAAACCGAAACCCCAACTTTAAAAAACCCTAAACCCTAAAAAACCTCAAACCCAAAACCCCAAACCCCAACCCCCAAACCCCAAACCCGGACTCCGAACCCCGAAACCCGAACCCAAAACACAAACCTGAAACCCAAAACCCCAAACCGCAAACCCAAAACACCCGAAACCGCAAACCCCAAAACCAAAAAATCCGAAACCCCAAACCCTTAACCCAAAAAATCCTAAACCCTAAACCTAAAAATCTCTAAAATCTCAAAACCCTAAACCCTACACCCTAAACCCTACACCCTAAACCCTAACCCTAAACACCCAATCCCAAACAGCCAACCCCTAACCCTAACTCTATATCCTAAACCCTAAAAACCCTAAATCCTAAAAAACCATAAGCCCTAAAAAACCATAAACCCCAAAACCGAAACCGTAAACCCAAAAAATCTTAAACCTAAAAACCCTAAACCCTACACCCTAAACATTATACCCAAAACCCTAAATTATACACCCTACATCCTACATCCTACACCCCAAATCCCAAACCTGAAATACGAAACCCCAAACCCCAACACCCAACCCCTAACTCTAAATCCTAAACCCTAAAAAACCATAAACCCAAAATCATAAACCCAAAACCCTAAAAACTCGAAACCTTAAACCCTAAAAACCCTAAACCCCAAACACCCTAAACCCTAAACCTTAAACACCCTAAACCTTAAACCCTAAACCCTAAAAAACCCTAAAACACCCTAAACCCTAAAACACTCGAAACCTTAAACCCCAAACCTCAAACCCCAAACCGAAACCCCAAAAATCCTCAAAAACCCTAAACCCTAAAAAAACCCAAACCCTAAAAAACCCCAAACCCCAACCTCCAATCCCAAACCCCAAACCCGAAACCCCAAACTCGAAACCCCAAACCCGAAACATGAAACTCCAAACCCGAAATCCCAAACCCCAAAACCCAAACCTGAAATACGAAACCCAAAAAATCCTAAACCTAAAAAACCCTCAAAATCCTAAACCCTACACCCTACACCCTACACGCCAAACCCCAAACCGTACACCCTACACCCTACACCCTACACGGGTTAGGGCATTTTAGGTTTAGGGGTTGTAGGGCTTAGGAATGAGTTGGGGGGGGGGTGGGGGTTGGGGGTTGGGGGGGGGGGGGGGGTTCGGAGTGGGGGTGGCGAAGGGGGTGGGGTGGGTTGGGGGTTTCGGATGGGATTGCGGTGGGTGGGGGTGGGGGGGGGGGTTGGGGGCTGCGGGGTGGGGGTTGGGGT